AGATCCAATTTCTCCATATCAGCTTTGTCTGCAACAGCCTGAGCCACCACTAGTGCTGCTGCTTCAGTGATCTCACCAAATGACAGATTAAGCTCCTGGAAAAAAAGTTGCATGAGAGAGCACTGTGAGATGTAGGAGACACAAAGGGAAACCAAGTCCTGAGCTGCGATCGTACACTGACCTTGAGGATGGGCAGTCCTTCTCTCAGGACTGCAGCGAGGGCGACAGCTCCCTCAGAACGGACCAGACAGTCACCAAAATTGATCACTTGGATGTTCCTGAGATGCCTCAGAGCCTATAAGGCCAAGTGAATTCGGGGATACAGTCAAACACCGGATAAAGGTCCTCTCTGCTTACAGAAAGTTGTTGAAAATAATTATGGATCTCACCTGTGCCATGGGCAGCGAGCCCTTCTTGGTGAAAGTGTTGTCATTGAGGTTGAGGACTCGAAGCTCTGGGTTATGTCGAATGGCTGAAGCTAACGCCATCACACCTGAGTAGTTTATTCCATTCTGGGGCATGTGAATCTCTTCAAGGCTGCCCATCAGCTGTTGTGAAAGCGAGGAAGAAAGTGCATCATGAAACAGAAATGGTCTTTGTTCCTCCCAAATCAAAAGTCCATAATATCATTACAGTTACTAAACGTCACATTTACGGTAATGTAAAACTGAACAAGGTGGGAGTATTTTATACCTGAAAGGCCTTAGCCAAGGCGCTAGCTCCTTCATTTTCCAGGCGGTTCCTCCCTGCTATAAACACTCTTAGTCTAAGTGGAGCTCCAAGAGACGATGACTGTCTGTGGCACTCAATCAGGGCTTCAGCCAAAATCTATATTAAACATACAAACATGGATGCTGTTAGAACTATAATGCAAATACACAATAAAGTGTTACATGTTTAAAAATCTGTTAACTACATTAAAAAGCCAACATTTACGTACATAATTTGAGCCTGTGCCTCTGTACACAACCATAGCAAATTTAAAATAAGACAATCAGGGTGTGATTGATGGGCAACTAACATAAATAAATGTGTGTCTTTGTCTATATATTATTTGACAAAGCTGTTTGAGA